ACTTCACTGTTACCAAATTTATTCAGGCCTCGAGCAAACGAGTCACATGACAAAAAGTTTAAAGCTTTTTTTGCACCACGAGCCAAACAAAACTCTATCGTGTGGAATTCATGTGCAATGAATCTGATCTTGGTCACAGACTTTGACCCTTTTCACAGCAACCGTGAAATATGTTATGGGTAGCACATCAATTTGTTCCTCTTGTAGAGATCTGTGATCACAAAATAAATATCACTCTCTTTTAAAAATGGCTGGGTTTAGTGGCCAGGAGATGGTCAACGTTGAAGAGCTTGAGAATTACGTGCAGCAAATGGAATTTCCAGACTGAGTTGACGAATAGTGAATACGTATCGAACAAACTTGATGATTGGAAAACGTCGTTATTCACTTTGCAGTATGTGGTGTTTCTGGAGCAGGAAAATCTAGTTTTATGAACTGCATACCAGGGTAAGTACATGTATGCACTAACATCGAAGACGTGCTGAGCACACAACAGTAAAGAAACAGTCAATTTTATTGAATTAGAAGGGCAATAGAGGAGCCAAATATTTGTTATGTTTGTAGATATCTAGCATTCACCATTGAAGCTGAATTCGCCTTATAACACCTTTTCCTTGTAGTTATCTTTGAGAATTACCTCTGTGGCTAATTAACATTCTTTGAAGTCCAAAATCAATTTTAGACCAGTTGTTCGGCGAAGCAAAAGAAACAAAATCAAATGTTCGAAAAATATTCTCCAACAAACAAACTTTGTGCTTGGAGTAATGCTGTAAAAACATTAAGAGGGCGACAGTGTGACAGCATATTCCACATTTACCCTATTGGACACCCGCAGTACCCTTTCACTAGATAATTATCTTTGAATACCAGTACAGTCGGACGAGTGATCTCTTGCCCGAAACTTTTGATGATCATGGCCTTTACAAAAGTAACTTCTCCATTCTAGTATGAACTTTAACTGTCTTTATCTTCCTCGAGTTAAAGATTCTCTGGGCCTTGCGATATTGTCCTTTGCGACCTTGTCTCTTGAACCCAGTGTATTAACTTATGGTTGTCGCGTCTACTAGGGGAAAAAGCGATTGGTCTGTACTCCATACAGACGATGGTGGAGGTATTTCAGTTGGATTCATACTTGTTTGAAAAACATAAATCTCTTTTTACCTCTTTAAGTCTCTTTTCTAACAGATTGTTGTCACTGGCAAACGGGAGCAGCCGATCGAGATGCTCCTTCTTCGTTCCGGCAACCTTAAGCTTCAGTTTCATCTCTGTCAACTCAGATTTTAAATCTCCTACGCTCCATTAAGCTAAATTGGCGTCATTCAATTTCACTTCTAAAGTATCTGGCCCCTTTGAATTTACTTTCTTGGAGGTATTCATGTCGGCAAACATAGGTTTTCTTCGGATATGAAACTTGCCGCTCTTATATACACAGAATAACTTTTAACTTTCCCGGCAATTTTGTCCGGCTTTGGCAAAATTCGCCCCAGTCTCTCAAAGTTGGCAATGTAGTGTCCATCAACTTCATCAAGAGTATAAATTGCCAAGCGCCAGTAGTTTTTAAGAACCACGCGTCTTTCAAAGTTATCTCTAAAACTTCTAAAACGGTAGTTTATTAATAAAAATTAATTACTTTCAGGATTTAATCCAGTTCGCGTGAAAACAAGGTGATGATATTTTAATGTACAAAGCACTTAACAAAAACAAAACATTAAAAATTTTTAAAAATATATCATTTTTCGGTCATTTCGAGATTTCCGAGTTCCGATTCCGGTGTCCTAGCGGAATTGTTTTCACAAACTGGTCAAACTGGTCAAACTGGTCCTCAAGGAGAAAGTGCCGAACTAAGTTTGACTATTGCTACGTCACAATGACGTAATATCCAAGATGGCGTTTTTCGCAATATTTTGCTCTATGTTAATCATCTTTCTATATGTCATGTATTAAGAAGAGTAAAAGAAAACGACTGAGGAGGAATTATATTGACCTATCCTGCCGCTGTGGCAGCGGCAGGATAGGTCGAGGCACTTAAAAACGATTGTCTTTTAATTCTCGCATTCGAATACTTTGGGGGACCTGCAACAAAATTTATGGGGGATTTTCAGGACCGGTTGTGTGGGTAAAGTCGATTGTGCATGTAATTGTGTCTATATATGAAAGAGAAGTTGTTACGATAAGGGGGCCGAATGCTCTGTATATTTGTAAACAACTCGAGCTCACTAAAAAGGAAATGTTAGATTTGCCATACCCACACCTTCTCCTTGTTCATATCGTTGTGAAATTACCTCTGTAGCCAATTTACGTAAATTGATATTTTTCACATTATTCAGTCGTCGGAAGTTTAAAATCTAATTTACGCCAATTTGGCGTTGTTCGGCAAAGTAAAAGAAACAAACTGAAACCGTTGGAGGAATATTTCTCTATCAAGGTCCCAAGAATTTTTTTGTGATTTCCCTCAAACACTTGAAGTTGGTTAGCAAACGGCAAGATTGATATCAGTGACTGACCTTTCCCAAATTTTCCTCATAAGATTTACGAAAATGTAACTTTGGCCGAACCTTCCGCGCTGTAATGAAAATGTTGGCAAAAGGAGTTTTTCAAATTCGCTTTGCATCACAAGAACATGCACAGGCGGCCCAGGCTCTGTCCCAGGCTCTGTCGCAGGCTCTGTCACAGGCTCTGGATTATTATGGAGTTTGTATGGCGGTTTAGTTGGATTTGCTTTTGAGTTCCGTAAATATAAAGTTGTGTGAAATAATCAAAGAAATAAAGTCTTACCTTCATACAGAGTACTCCGTGCTGTTCTTGTCGCGATTTGAGGCCGTTTTGCTGTGTTTCTACTCAATGTCCTAGCACTACCAAATAAGAGGGAAGTTGGGAAAGCTCTGTCTCACACACACTCGCCAAAATCGCTCGAAAAACACACTTAACCTGGTAGCACGAAAGCCGAATAGTTGCCCTTCAAGTTCACCAAAACAAATCTCACAAAAGTTGGATTGTCGAGCAACCAACCCAGCGAAAATCTCAAATTGACCGCCATTTCAACGCCATTCTAATTCGCTTCGGTCAAAACCTGTGCAGTCAAAAGTCCGTTACGACGCGGTCGGCCTGGACACTAGCAAAATTAGGCGTGTCACTTCACCCAAGGTTGAGTCACTCATTGATCAAGTGACTCCTTTCATTGTCTAGTTCAACTGTCCTTTATTCAGTAATCAAGATAGTAGATTTACCATACAAAACTCACGATTAGTCAATTTGTCTTTACTTAGGAAAGTAGATTTACAACACGATTGAGTACCAGGCATGGTTTGATGCTACTCTGTTTTAAAGATTTAATGAATGTAACCGAATCACAATGATCGACCCAACGTTTCGACACTCCTGTCTAGTGCCTTCATTAGAAGTGATCTGATCGTTGCAACAAGAGGTCCTCTTCATGATATGCTCGCTAATTAGCTGCCCTTTTTTCTGCTCGGAGGTGTAAATAGGCACTAGATAGTAAGCCGCCATCATAACCATTTAAAGGAGCGTGGGCTGAGTTGAGTATATTTAGGAAATATCCATACAGTAGTAAAGCTATGTAGCGAAATACACTAAACACAACTTTTTGCTGCCATAACCTGTCTCAAACGCTATCACTTAAAATGCATAAAACACGTGTACCGTCGGAGCGCGATCGAGAATGTTTGGTGAGAGCTGTTTCAAGGATCAATTAAAGTGGCCATCCAAATGAATTCATTGAGAACGAAAGAATACGCGACAACTGAAATTCAAAAAATACTTCTACACATTCAGAATGTGTTCAATCACATTACCTAGAGTAAAAAGAAAAAGAAACGTTCAAAAAAAAAAAGGAATATTCAATCAATCTGTCGATTTTGGCCGCTTTCACAACCATATTAAAGATAACACACATACTCTTCATCATCAAACTTTATTTCACGCACATCATTTTGCCATCTCCACCCGCAAATAGCAAAAGCTAGACGAGGCGGGCGGAGAGGTAAGGTTACTGCAGTCATAACAGATAATATAATAATTGTAAAGTAACTAACTAACTACCTAACTAACTAACTAACCAACTAATAATTGTAAAGTAACTAAGTAAGCTATCTGGATAAATAAGAATTACTGAAAAACAAGCTAGGGTTACAAAATATATAGTCTAACAGAATAGTATTACAATCAAATTTACTCCTAACAAAACCTATCGATTATTAGTACATTGATTCAAGGATACAGAAGAATGTGCACTTCTGTAGAAGAATGGGCACTTCAACATAATCGTCCTCTGCTTCCATTATCGAGAGCAAAAAGTTATGAAAATTTGTCTTAAAAGTTCCTTTGGAGAGTTGACGAAATTCGTCAGGAATTGCGTTCCAAAGTTTGACACCGCCTGTGCTTGTTCTAAACAAAGTACTGTGCTAAGTTCAGACCCGCGAGGCTCTCTGGTAAAAAGTGGCACAGTGCACTCTGGTTAAATGCGAGGAATTGAAAGCCCCTTCACATATTCCTCTTAAATCCTCATTATGTTGCTGCTCGCTCGCTACGCTTACTGCGCCGCATTTTTTTCATTTTCGTCGATGTTTTCTTTATCATTATAATCAGCTACGCGAGAGGATTGCATTCAACTAGACAACGATAAAAAGTTATAGCTCTGGATAAAAACAACTGGATTGAAAATGAGACACGGCAGAGATTATAGAAAGGTACCTTAGCAATATTTCAACCTCTAACCCTTTGCTTGTTATTTATGTTAGACTGAATGATTTTGATGAAGCTGCAGCAGCATTCGGTGCCACGGAGATGACTACAGGGCCAAGATGCTTTGAACATATCCCACCAACCCCAAAATCAAGTTTTGGGACTTGCCAGGAATAACAAATCCAGTCTACAAAGGTGATCTGGAGGAGTACTGCGAAAATGTGCCACTGAAAGGATATGATACATATCTGATCTTCGCCAAAGATCGATTCACGGCTGACGACTTAAAACTTGCAGAGATGATCCGATCCGCTGGTAAGAAGTTTTTCTTCATATGCATTCGCGCGAAAATCGATCAAGGTGTTGAAAATGAGAAGAGAAGTAAGCAACATTTATTTAACAAAGATGAAATTCTGAAGAATATACGAAAGGAGTGTTCGGAAAACTTGATTGCTAGAGGCCTGCTCCAGGATGAGAAAGACATCTTTTTGATAAGTAATCCCTTTCCTGCCAAGTATCAATTTGGCGACTTGACCCAAGCAATTTTAGACGTATTGCCGCAACGTCAAAAAGAGAGTCTCATTCTGACCATTGATAATGGCTTAAGTTTGTCAGAAGAGACTCTCAAGAGAAAGGTTGAGGTTCTTAAGAAGCGAATCAAATATGTTGCCACCGCATCAGCTCTTGCTGCAAGTGTTCCATTTCCAGGAACAGCCATTGTCGCTGATATCGCGTTGATAACAAGAGAGATCAACTTTTATAAGAGCCAGCTTGGTCTCCCAGAGGAAGGGTCAAATAGTAGATTTTCAATGCTCAGTATCAACACCCAAAATGAAGTTAAGACTTTGACTGCATCATTCAGCAATGCCTTGCAAATGGGCAAGCTTGCTGCGGCCTACTCTGCAGAAGGTGTCGTTGAGGAATTTGTTCGTATTATTCCATTTATTGGACTAACCATAGCCGGTCCTCTGTCTTTCGGCGCCACATACTACTTCTTAAAAAGCTGGTTAGAAGACATGGAAAAACTCGCAATTAAAGTGCTCAGAGAAACGTAGGAGAATATTCGACCCCAGTAGTTTCGATGTACGATTTGTGCTTTGTTTACTTTCTTACAGCACACAAGCTATAGTGGAAATCGATTGACTTTATACATGACTGAGTAACAACGTAATGAAAAACAAATAGACTCGAGTGCACTAACTTTAACGTTCAATTTTTATTTCTAAGTTAAATATTTTGCTCACAGATTTACAGCAGCAACTCAATATTAGAGTACATTAGCTACGCTATTACTTAAGTTTGTTGAACTAGCTTAGAAACTGCTAATCGATCGATATTTACTGGAGCGCGACGTGTGATGTGATATTGTCATGTATGCTGACGATACAGTCCTGTTCTGTGCTTCCTAACAATTAAGCCTCCGCTTTGGAAAAATATCTCATTGAAAAACTGCATAAAAATTGAACGCTCGCTTTTCAGTAATAGTCTGTTTATTTATGTCTCAAAAACTGAGGCTATGCTTTTTACAACCGCCCCAAGGCTTTTAAGTGTAGACTCTTTTGATATGCATATTGGTATGTAGTAGTAGTAGTAGTAGTCAACTTTATTTAAAGAGGGTGACACATGACAAATATATCTGATAAACTAGTGGCCCTCTATCTTAATAATAGCAAAAGTTAACAAAAAATGGAGATAAAATATAGAGAATAAAAAGACGTCAGTACAAAATAGAAAATTTTTTAAGTTAAAAGGTTAATGTAAATAACGGTATAATTGATGGTACAATCTGATAAACTAAAATTTCAAGCTTAAAAAAAAATTTTCTTAGTGCAGCTTTAAACGAGCCAGCAGTGTCCTTTTTCCGCACATCTAAAAGATGGCTTTTCATTGATGGCAAACCAATTAATAGGGTTTTTGAATTTACTTATTTAGGTGTGGTATTTGATAATCGCCTTACCTGGAACAGTCATAGAGAGCAAATGATTGTTAAGGTGGGCAAGGGCATAGGCATTTAGAGTGCCAATATGTTGTCTTCATCTCGTTAATTAGATCAATCCTAGACTACTGCAATTTAGTGTGGGGTTGTTGCTGTAAGGAAACTAGCCAGGCATTGGTGGCTTTGCCGAAGAGAGCAAGCAGGACTCGCAGCAGTCCTGCAATAGACATTTTCTAGTGGCTTGCGTAAGAAAAAAGACATCACAAACACACCTGTCGCCTTGTAAAGAAATGTATTGTGGGGCCTTTCCCTTAATATTTTAAGGACTATTTTACTTTTAACAATAAGATTTACTTGCGCGCAATTAGACAGTAATCTGCTTCATTTACTAGCTCTCAGAACGAAAATCACAAAGAGACTTTTATGCCTCTTGCTCGCTTGCCAATAACCTAGTGCTGTACACTGTGCATTGAAT